AAATTCAGGGCACTAACTGCCGGCATAAAGACTGTGGACTGGAATGGTTTGGTATACATTTTTGGACACACATCTCTGACTAATTGCAGTGGAAAGGATGCTATCCTCTCACAAAATTGTGATCTTTTCACGCTTTCTTTCCATCCTGTCCCACCCTGAGAGATGCTTAGGTGTGCCTGAGAACATTTTGAGATGCTTTTAGGTGTACAGACTTGCTCACAGGTACTGTTGACTTTTTTCTTTTATTCATCCAGACACTGAAACTACTTTTGTCCATTTCCCTTTGTTTTTTATCGGAGATGCAGACTGGATCCCAAGACCCTTGAATTTCAGGGAAGTTCAGATACAGTTCAGAAATTTCTCAGGATCCAAACTCTGCTGCTTGCCTGTAGGTTTCTGCTGGTGGTTTCTTCCATGCCGGCTGAATCCCGGCCAGCGACTGCGTGTGTGTCTGGGCAGCGCGTGCTATTCCGGGAGCTAGAGCCAGAAAGAACCACAGGTTCTGCTTGTGCGCGGCAGCCTAAATTACAGCCCGACTTGTCTTTTGTTGTGAGGGGAGTTAGGAGGAGAGTGGGCTCATTTCTCATCAGCGCCTTAAACCGGTTCTGAAGTGGTAGCTGCCATTGCATTCAGATTCCAAAGTGATGTGAAAAAACCTGATTGAGAGTTCATTCAAAATTGCTGGCAAGGCTTCTGTGGATTGTGAAGGTACTGTTTCAAGTGCTAAGGAGTAAGCCCGATTTCACTGTCGTTAACATGAGGATTCTTCCTGGCTGCTGTAGGTTAGCTTTGCTGTGTAAACAGCACCCCAGGAGGGACAAGTCCCCTTTGCTGGGATTCCAAGGCTGTTTTCAGTCCTGACTGATACCTGAGTTGGCTGCGAGGTCTCTCTGGCTGCTGGAGGCTGCTGCTGCCAAGAAAAATAGTGGCTTGCATGCCTGTTGCTGGGATTGCTCATGCATGCCATAGTAATTAAATAATAATACCACAAGGATGGAACATTCATTTTAACTGTCAATCATCCATGCGCTGGAGAAATTGGGGAGTGCCATGACTGCCTTGTAGGGGGATTTGTAATTGAAGCAAGCCACTGGAGAGGTATGGGATTCTTCAATTATTTTCTTCAAACTTCAAGAGTTTTTCATTTATTTTTCTGGGATGTGCCATCTGGATTTCTTTTTTCTCCCTTACAAGATGCCTGCTCTGGCCTACTTCTTCACAGCTGGAGCTTCAGAAAGGCTGAGCACATCTGTGTGTCTCCACAGTTAACGGTCAGAGTTTTCACATGATTGCTGGCTTCTGCTTCTAGCTGGCCTCTTTGCTCATTTTTGCAGTGGAGGGGAATTTATGCCAGTCTTGCAGCCTGGTGGAAACCAGGGATATTTGAATAGTCTCTTCCACATCTGCAGCAAATATTGCGTCCCAGTTCCTAAGGCTCCGGTCTTGTTTGCTGTGTTCTGGAGACTGCACTTCTGAATTCCTGCCACGTGAGCCAGCCCTTTTTGAAGGATAAACTGATTTTCTTTTCCTTTTCTCTGCAACCCAGCTGTTCTCTTGCTGGCTCCTCTTACAGCAGTGAGGGAATACTCCATCCTGCCCGAGTTGGGTGCTTCTATTAATAAGTTGCTTCCTTCTGCTTTGTGAACTGCACTGTAGCTTTAGCACAGACCTGTCAGTCCCAGTCACTGGGACAGAGATATCTGCTTCTTTTGGGCAAAGCGTGGGTAGGCTTTTACCCGCTTTACATTTATGAGCTTTGTAAACTTGAATGCTCATAAATGCAGTCCTCTGCGTATGGTACCCATCTGCTTTCAGATGAAGTGGGGTAGGAAAGAACTAGCTTCTCCCATCAGAAACCATTAAATCTCCATGAAACTCTGATAACTCATGTTTGTTGTAGAAATAAACTGCACCTCGTGTGCTGTTCTAAGGACTTTGCAAACTTTATCAATGTTTGCCTCTGGACTTGATGTTGACATGTTATGATAGATGGAGGGGTTTGCACCAATGGACCTTCCCAGCCTGTCTCTGACTTCTTTCTTATGCTTCGCAAAAATCTGCAGCCAAGCAATCTTGGGAAGGTGATAATGTTTTAGTGAGGCGACTAATCTCACGATACATGGGATTTCCTATGGCGCTCCCTTTACGTTCATTTCCAATGGAATTTCGGAAAGCTGTTCGAGTCCTGGGTATGGTAAGTAAAAAAGGCAAATAATAATTTAGGTAAAACAAACTACTAGAACCCCTTGCCTAAACAGGTGACTTACAGCTGACTGTAAACGTGGTTATAAACATAAAAAGTCTGTTCAAGACTGATTTGGGTACAGAAATAATGAACTAGATTGTTAAGAATAGTTTGTCTTGCTCTTGCTTGTGATACGTGCTACATTTGAGCATCAAGGGGAAGGTGCATACCCATAACTCTGAGCCTGATTAATTACAGTAGAATGCACGAACAATGTGGTGATAGGTCTTGGGATATCTTTGCTTTGGCTTAGAGCACAGACGCCGGCGACTCTGCAGCCATCTATCTGGAGGGGAGGACAAGTGGACTGCCTGCATAGAGCAATTCAGTAAGAGTAGATCTTTCTGTGGGTTGTGTATGAGCAGTAAATCAGCTAAGGTTATTTGCTAAGTAGAGAAGATAGAGTTGGCTTCACAGTGTTTAAGATGTATGTTTAATAAATACCCTTGCTCAGCTCACAACACGTCCCATTTCTGGGGAGCTGCTCATCTTCTGCTGGTTTGTAAATCATCTGTTGACCCGAGCTGTTTGAAATAAATAGTTGTGATCACATCAGCTCAGAAATCTATGGACAAGTGCCTTGTACTACACCCATGGGCCTGGATGCATGCCGGAGAGAGAGCTTTCCAGGCTCTGCATAAGCTTAGAAGCACCGACATTCCTTGTAACCTCAAGCTGGAACTCCATCAGACTTCTAAGACTTAATTTTGAAACAATTTATGCTGCATGAATTTTTCACAGTGGATCACACAGACTGTGGTCTTTTCTCCTCAGAATGGGCTTGCCCTGATATTTCTAGCTAAAGTTTGCAATCCTCTGTCGAATTCATGCTGCTCTAGAGAGTGCCATATATTGCAGTCACTGGCACTGCAGCTCTACTTGCATTCTAAAGGTCAATTGTTTTCTACATGCTTCCGCAGACTGTTTGACGAAAGGGAATCTGCGCTTATAAGTGGTACTAGAAATGTTATTAAAACTCGATACGGTTCTCTGAGAAGTGTCAAGTGCTTTAGGGAGCCAAATGAGACAGATAATGAGCAAAAGTAGACGTGTTTGCGAACTCGGCTGCATTGGAAACACCTTGCAAAGTCACGGTCACGGTTAAGGCCACTGAGTGTAGAGCTACAGTGTCTGAGCTGTGGCAGAACTGTCTGGTGCTGTCAGACTAGTAGGAGCTTAACACCCAGGGCAAACGCTCTTGGATCTGAGAAGTGCAGTGTTGTCTGACTTTGCTACTGTGCTTTTTCCACACCCATCTTGTTTTCTTCCTCCTGATCGTGATAGATCGATATTGATTTACCTGAACTTGTAACGGTTTAGGAATCATTTCAAATGTCATTCAACTTGCTGCTGCCTTGTATTGCTTTCCTGCTGGAATTCTGATCTCTACCTGTTCTGTCTCACTGGGAGAAGAAAAAACAGGTTTCTTGTATGAATTCTAAAAGCTTACAATAGGCATAGGGTGGGGTGTGTGTTTGTTTGTTTGTTTTAAAGATTTTAAGTGTTCGTTGCACTTTTTCCTCTCTGGCTTTTTCATTAATGGCTCTGAACACTTCAGCCTGGTTCATGAAACTTTGGGAAGGCTTGTGCTTTTATCCTCACTGTGATGGACATTTGGGAGGCTGATATGTCAACAGATTGGAACCTCCATAGTCAACAGTTAATTGGTCTTGACAAGAGCTTGGCAGGGTATCGGTAACCAATGATTTCTGGTGCCTTTTGTTAATTTAAAGTTCGAAGTTCATTCCCAGCCTAGGATAAAAACAACAGCTATGGTTATTTAATTGCTCACTTCTGGTTGTCTCTGGGAACCAAGGAGTCTAATAAGAAGTGGACCCAAATTTGTAAAGACAGATACTCTCTTCTGTCCAGATTTTGTTTAGGAGGGATCCAGAACTAGGCACTGTAATGTCAAAGCTTCTCTAGATAATTTCTCTATGGCTGCAATACACTTGTAGAACATAAGAATGGGCAAGATAGTTAAATTTGCCAATGAACACCTTCTCTGTGATCAGATGTGGACTTTGTTTTTCATTGTGAAAGTTTTTTTTTTTTCCCACATTTGTCATTCTACAGACTGTGATTTGAAAGTTATGGAGCATTTCAAGGTTTTCCATATGTTGTAAACGCTCTCTGTTGCTTGCTTGATCCAATGGATGAATGTCAGATGCCAATGGTGAACAATCTCTGGCATCTGAGCAGGTTTTCTGTGGCACGTATTAGGACTGTCAGAGGACAGAGAGTCTCAGCAGCTTGAGAAAAGTCTCCGAGGTACGCTGGCTCCCAGCTCTTGCCTCCTGCTGATTTCTTAATCAAAGGGAGCTGGGAGGCTCTGCAAGTGGTAGCATATTAAGTTATGAGAAGGCATTTTGATGTTTTAAGCGCAGCATCTTCTGCCTTTTGGGACATTTCTGCTGGCAGGCTTAGCCTGTAACTTATGAAGGAAAAAATCCCACTCTAATGGGACTCTTTGAAAGGCTGATGTCTTTCATACCCTGTGTCAGAACTCAGACTGAAGTACTGTCCTGCATTTGCAACGCTCCTGTAAATGAAGACAGCAAGTGGCATGGTACTGGATAATCCAAACTGAATTTCTTGTTACAGAAGTGTAAAATCCCATTCTAGCCCACCTTCAATGTCCTTCCAAATGCAGTGCGTTTGGATCAAGGATGTGGTTTAGGAAAACTTTGCACTCTCTGAATCCATGTAGTCGCCAGATACAGTGATGTCAGTCTTTGTTCTTGTTTCTCTTTAGATCCTAGAATCTCCAGATCCTCGAATCACAGATCCACGGCGGACTTGGATCTCCTTTGTTCACCGCCCAGACGATGGCAATACCTCCAAAAGGCGATGCAAAGGGAAAGACAAGAAATTAGTAGGTTATTGCTAGACTGCCATCAGCTAATGAGTGTGCACTGTGGCTTCCCTTCCTACTGCTGATACGCAAGGTCTTTTGTACGCTCCAGCTTTTGCCTTCCCACCCCAGAGAGTGCTGCGTTTTCATTTGTTTGTGTATAATTTCTCACAGTATTTTTGAGCAGCTGAGACAGTAAGTGCTGTATGCTTTGTAAAGAGAAGTTCTGTGGATTGCACTGTCAACATTAATTTTCGTTTAAACCAGCTATTTCTGGACTAAGCCTTCTTGGTTTTTTTTTTTTTTCTGCTCAGTAGAAAGAGAATTAACATTTTTTTTCTTCCACTAGATAAAGTCCAGGTATCTCAAAGGATATATTAATCAAGGTGTGGACAAATTGTTTATTTCAAATTAATGAATTACTGATCATCTGCTGAGTGATGCATGATCATGTGTGTACTTTTAATCTGCTGCTTAGAAAAATCTTGAATGCTTTTAATGATTTGCTTTTATTTCTCAGTGAGCTGACAGGCAGGAGTTATACCTGAGGCAACAGGAACTCCCTGGGAACAATATACATCGAAATAGCACTGATAATACAGTTGTGTGTTTGTACTACTAGTTTAAAGCTCTAATGTGTGGTGGCTAACCTTTACAGGTGTTTAGAAGAAATTGTTTCATTTTTTGAGAGTTCTACTGTCACACCAAACATTCATGTACGTGATCGTTATGTCCGAGCAGTACATATTAATAACGTAAAGGGTCGCTAGATGGCTATTCTAGTTAGGGAACAGGCAGAAGAAGAAGCTTAAAAGCTGGTGTGTTGCTTTGCTGGTATGAGAAGATACCGAAGCAGCAAACTTAGTCATGTGCCTGTTGTGCTTCGCACTGTACATATGTAGTTGAAGAACCAGTTAGTGTTTACCTGAGCGAAGGTTATCCTCCCACATAACGAGGTGAGGAAATTCCAAGCGCTGGAATTCACAGCTGGCTGGAGAGCCAGTTTAAGATTTACTGCATCAGGCCTGTGGTTGGACCGATAGCGGAGGGGGCTGCTGACATGGCTGACGGCCCTTAGAACTGGCTCACGGCTGAGAGAATTTTTGCTCTGTCAGTGCGATTGCCTGGTTCTAATTCACAAGTTTTCCTTTGGTTACTTCCCTAGCGTGGCCTCGTTGGGCCCCCAGGACCTCCTGGCCCCCAGGGACCTCCAGGAGCACCTGGTGCTGAAGTCACCCGGGAAGTCCTTCTGCAGGAGTTTAAGGAGATATTAAAAGGTAAAGACTGTAAGAGCTTTGTGCTTTTGTGATCTGCTTCTTTCGGTAAGCACCGTGGCAAATAAAGGAACTGGCTTTGCAAACGTTTACCTTAAAGCATTCGCTTATCTGGCAATCAAAAATTTGAAAAAATGTTTCCCCAGTGCTGCTTAGTTCAAGTTGAAAAGTTGAGTGCAGAGGTCTAATCACACAACTACTGGCTTCATAAACCAGGCTCTTAAACTAAACCTTTATTTTCCTATACTTTTTCTTTTCTTCTCAGAAGCCATTGAGCGTCGAGCGTCCCTGGCTATTTCAGCCCATCCTAGCCAGCTGCCTCCACTCCTGCTCTCCTTGGAGGAAGTTTCACCCCACAGACGTGTAGAGGAGGCATTCCATTGCAAGCTAAAAGGACAAGTCATCGTAGATAAGAAGACCCTGGTAGAACTTCAGAACTTCCAGTCGGTGAGAAGGGATTACAGACTCAACCTGTGCAACTCCACAACAGCCATTGTGCGTAGATCAGCTATAGTTGCCCTGGTCTGCAAAGCTGCTAGATGGCTCTGTAAATAAAGGTGTTTCCTGAAAGGGCAGACTAAACCCAGAAACTCCTCTCAGGCTTGGACGCTCTGAATATAGCACTGCCTTTTTTGTGATTGACAGAAGTAGAATCTCATATGGTGATTTCAGCACTGAAGCTCAGCTGCAGTAAGATGGACATTTAGCTTTGAGTCCTCTCCTTCCTGACAATCCCAAGAGGCAGACTTTCTTCCTCTCTTGCAGCCCAACTGAATCTCATTACAGTTCTTACTGAAGTTCTAACAGGTCTGTGCAAGAGAGGGCTGTCTCACAGGTCCAAACAACAGTCAGTTTTTTATTTCAGTTAATGATGGAGAAAGACTTGTCCATGTTTGGCATTCATCTGAAGGATCTGTTCTTTTTTCAGTGCACACCCTGTTTAATTCCAGAGTAACCTTCAGATGTAGAAAAATGTCAGAGGCAGACAGAGGCCATTGGTTGTAGATTTGTGAGCCCAAATAAGACCATCGTTTTGTTTGATGGGCCAGTCCTGATGCTCAAATTCTTTACATAATGTTTTATAGATGGCTAATAAAAGCTACTTATACAATTTCATTATAGTCACGTTATAACGACAAACACACCATCGTGGGTTGGTGTAGGGCATTATAAACGTGTTTACAAGCAAGCTGTTGAAATTGATATTAAAACTTCTAGTAACCATTTCTGAACCGGTTGCAAATAGGATTTGAATCTGAAGTGTAAATGTTAGGCAAAGTAATAGCTAAAAACTAACAGTTACTTGCTAATTGAGGAGACTTATTTTAGACTTTGAAGTCGCAAAGACTGTCTAGTCGCACAAGGCCCTCAGATACATGGCTGCTTTCGTGGTGTGACAAGAAGAATCTGAAGACTATGAAGGGGAACTGGCCTCCCGTCAGCAGGGTCCGGGTCCGCTAACGCTGCCCGTGTAGGAAGGTGCTGAGCTTTCTTCCCAGCTGCGCCGAGTCCCCTTTCTGAAGAATCCTGTCCAGCAGATCCTTTCCTATGGGGTGGCTTTGCTGCGAGGATGTCTCACAGCCGCAGGACTAGAGGCAGCGGTTGTATCCTAAACAGGGTGCTTTCCCGGATCTTTCCCAGATCCACTTGTGGAAGCCTGGTTGGACAGCACTGTGGGTGCTGGCACAGAGGCAAGATTGTACTTGAAGTGCGGGCAGGGCTGGAGAGATCTGCTGCCTCATTAATGAGGAGGGAAAATGTGAATAAAGACATCTCGGCGCTCAGTGCGGAGGCGGATGCTTCCCGTGCTTTGTTACCCTCCGCCTGGCTTCTTTCTAATTGCTCCTGGCCCCGAAGCTGGTGTGGGAGGGCTGGCAGGCCTCTGGGTGCCAGCCTTTCATTTCAGCTTTGGGACAAGAAGTGTCTGGTTTTAGCTTGCGCTCTGATACAGGGGAATTTAGCAGGGAGGGAGATAGTGGATGCTCTTGCAAAGATGAAAACATTGTCTTTAAACAGTCCAAGGGAGGGGGGGGAGAGAGAGAATTCCCTTCCCTCCATTCTGTCAGTTTAATAGTGTGAAGAAGCCAACAGTTTGGTACTTCTCAGCGAGATGATAGAGATTGACTTTAATTCCCGGATTTGGACCTTACCCAAAGCATTTTGAGAACGTGGAAGGAACCTGTGCTGAGAAACGGCCTATCACTTCCATACTCTGCCGCTTGAGTATGGTGTCTGAGTCACCTGGAATATTGAGAGAGCATGATGGCTTTCGCATCCTTCCATCCTACAGTTCCTCCAAGAACATTCACTCCCTCTTTTCCACTTGGTCTCACAATTCCCTTAACATCTGGAATGAAACATGAGCTACTCCTTTCCCCACACCTCTTCCTCCCGTATCTCGTGCTTTGAGATTTCTAACAATTGCCTCTTGCAAAAGCCTTCAGAAACGTTCTTTGCGCAGCAAGAATTGAAGTAACTGCAGCCTCTGAAGGGCCATGGAAGTGCATTTATCTGGCGCCCAGGAATGTTGCTGGAGCCAGATCATTTAAGGCTAAGGTGGCCTAAGTGCTTTTCATGGTGAAAGATCCCAGAAGGAGTTCTGGAGTGTCTAGTGCCTTGAGGTCAAGCTAAATGTCTACCTTTGGCAGCTGAATTTATTGCCGCTTCAGGAGCTTGGTGGTGCATCCCCTGCACGTCGCGGTCGCTGTGCAGGCTGGGTTATCCTTTTCTTTAATGACAGATAAGCCAATGCGTTGCTTTCCGCGGGGTTTATCACTGAAAAGCTGAACTGGCAGTTCACGTCTCAATTCCCTGTGCGTGGTTGCTGTTCTCCACCGGGAAGTAAACTCTGGAGTGTATTAGGGAGACGTGGGGATAGGAGATGAACTGAGAAAGAGAAGCTGACCTTGGTTTGTACAGAATGGCTGCACATTAACTTCTTTGCTTGCTTTTGGTCTGCCTACTGGAATAATTGTGTGCAAGCAGTTAGTTTCTCGGATAAAAACCCCTGCGGTGTTTGAAGCAGCTAGGTGGGTTGCTGCTGTGCGGCAGCAAATGCAGCGGGGAGCTTTACTTGGCATGGGGCTTAATGGAATATTTTGCCCAGAGAACCTCTCCCTGCATTGTCTATTTCTATGAGCAAAAGAATAACAAAGCCACAGAGAGCATGAAGAAACAGGAATGTTTTATCAGTGATAATTTACTGGTGCCTAAAATTGCTTGCCATGCTCAGCCAGTGGTTTTGGAATTATGTTGCTGATTCTGCTAATAGCTGTAACAAGAAAGGAATGAATTAACTGTGCAGTACAGTTTTGCACATACAGGGCTTTGATCTGCTCTTTCAGTGAGGTAAATCAAAAATAGCATTACCAGAAATGATGGTATAGCGGTAGCATAAGAACAGAATCAATCTCCTTCTGTAGTCTTTGTTGTTAGGTTAGCTGTTACATTGCTCGTGCGTGTATACGTAAAGAAAATAGAGCTCCTTTTGTGTGTATATACGTGCACATAGGCACACATCAGTGCACACCGATGAATATAGAGACTTAGAAATCATTGTATGAAACTTAGTTGTTCTGTAGCTCGTTATTACTGTTTTCCCATTATACATATGTCATGATACCAGAAATGCCACTGCTGTCGCACATGGATTTATTTTCACCACCATATGCATACATATTTGCAGCCTTACTGCCTTTCAAAGCGAAAGCTAAAGAAGTTATTCCTACCCCGCACTGTCAAAGCTGGCAATTTCTGCCTGTGAGGAACCAGAATGGGGAGGCAATTAACTTCCTTCTGGTACTTGAACAAAGGTGTTCCACTGCTTTTTTTTAGTGTAATAGCACCTGTGGCAACACTGCTACGAATTCATTCGCCATGTCTCAGGCCCCTTTCCCCACCTAGTACTGGCAAGCATACTCAAACGCTGGGCTGTTGAGACTGCTCAGTTACGCGTTTGTGCATGTTTTAGGGACATGGCAGTGCGCGTACCCTTACAGAGTCAGATCTGAACAGCTCTTCCGTCCCATAAGACCAACGCAGGGCAAACCTCTCCGGACAGCATTCATGGGAATGCATTCCCATTGCACAGAACGCCCTTGCGGTGGAAGCAGAGTCTGACTAATGTACTTTCTTGGCCTATTGAAGCCACTCCTGCTTCTCCCCAGCTTGAGCCAAATTCGTATCAGGCAGGCCAAAACAAACAATAAACATTTCTTGCAGAGTTTATTTTAGTCTGAGTCAGATAATCTGCTGCAAGTTTGACTTAAGACTGCTTCCTTGCCATGAAGAGAAGCTGCATGCTATTTTACTAGGTTTTTGCCTATTCTGTAGAATCCAAGGCTAGAACAAAATGAAACTAAGCATGGAATCTGTAAGAATCCAAGCAGTTGTTCTTTAGCAGTATCAAAGCCGTCTGACTTAGACCTGAAGTGGGTAGAAGACCTCTGGAGACCCATATGAGTGTTTCTTCTGTACTTGTATCACAAAAACAGTGTATAAGGTTCCAGGCTTTTAAGCCTGGGGGCACTGCTCTGCCCCATCTAGGAAATGTTGTGGAGTAGTAGGGAACTCTTGACTCAAATGATGAGTGAGATTGTGTATCAGAACACCAGTGGAGGCTAGGAGCCACTAGGACCAGCAGAGCATAGGGATGCAGTAAGTACCGTCTGAGTCAAGATGAGTTAGAAGAGTTGGGCAGTGAGAAAAAAGGGCATCTTCATGTCTCATGCTGATCATTTTGCCTTTTGTGGGCATCAAATGCTGAAAGAGCACCCATCTGGAAGGTGTGTTCTGGGCAGATAAGGCAGTAGCCTTGCAAATTTTTTCAGCTATTGTGGTGGATTGACCCTGGCTGGACACCAAGTGCCCACCAAAGCTGCTCCATCACTCCCTCTCCTCAACTGGACAGGGGAGAGAAAATATAATGACAGGCTTATGTCTTGAGATAAGGGTGGGGAGAGATCACTCACCAGTTACCGTCAAGGGCAAAACAGACTTGACTTGGGGAAATTAGTTTAATTTATTACCAATCAAATCAGAGTAGGATAATGAGAAATAAACCCAAATCTTAAAAACACCTTCCCCCACCCCTCCCTTCTTCCCGGGCTCAACTTTGCTCACAATTTTGTCTACCTCCTCCCCCAGAGTGGCGGGACAGGGAATGGGGGCTGTGG